TCATAAACTTCATAAAAAACAGCCCTTTATCGCTCCATATATACTGGCACACACAGAGACAGATAGCAATAGCGACAACACACCAAGTGAAGGGTAGTTAGCCGCAGCCAGATGTGAACCGGATAACGAGTGAGGTATGGAAGCAAGGACTAAGAACAGAGTGTCTCAGATAGAATAGGCGTGCCAGTGGATAGCAGAAATAGGCCATGATGCAGAACCACTTGGGACCGTCAGATTCATTTTCCTGGACCGAGCTAGCCGGGGAAAAAACCCTCGCGCCGACGGACGCAGTTGTGAGGGAAAAAACCGGGTGTATATCCCCAATGGCGATTAGGCATCATGTAGGTATGGCAAGCACACACCAGATGCCATATTTGCAACTAAAAATATTTCGCGAGAAATCATTTCTCGCCTATCTCGCTGCGCATGCGCTCGGCCGGCGAGAAATACAACTATTATTACTTATAATACTTGTTCTGATCTAGCTGTGCTGGTGACCAGTCATGTGGTATGTGTGATTGCCCGCCGGATAACTTCGCTTCTGGTGCGTGACGTACAGATCTTGGCTATACTGACGTGATCGGTCAGCTGGCCTGACCATACACACCACACACACACACACACACACATGTACACCCACGCACCACACGTACACGCATGCATGCGCAGACACGATTTAAAGTGCTGTGGATCGGGGGATGGACCTGAGCTACGCATGACGCTACTGCACACCGTCTCTTACGTAACTTCGGTAATAATAATTGTCAATGTTGGAATGCGCCCATGCAAGTGCGTTTGTAGGATACCATTATGTCTGGGAGACAGTTCTCTATTACTATTTGCATACTGCTTTTTTTATGCTCTGCATGCATAATTGTAGCCAGAATTTCCATCTTTCAGTGAATTTCTTAGAAATGTATAATAGCAGCAGTGCATTCATATTTTCCTAGGGATTTTATGCCCTCATCCTACCATTAATATTATGCGTCTGCATCTGCAGCTTGACTTGATTTTTGGAGTGTATGTATGTGGGGATGGGAGGGGGGGGGGGACAACAACGCAAATCTTCTCTATTTTTCTTATGCCGGTAATGGGTTACACGGAAAAGATTACTGTGTCTGTCCTGAATTACATAGGTGCACCTACATGTGAATGTAACATTACCAGAATAGGAAACAAGCTCCATTGCTAGATCCACTATAATATTTATTCTGATTATAATCGATTCAAGTATCGTAAAGCGAGATTTTCTAAATCTTAAAAATAATAACAGTGTTGACAATGAGCCTTCATGAATACAGCTGTCTCCTGGGCAAATAAGGAAATGAATTCGTCGTGGCCTTGATCTGCATCCAGAGGAGCTCTGCTTTTATGCAACTAGACCTATGTCGGATCAGTCGGTGCATTTTGGAGTCGATGGGCATGCGTTATTCTTCTCATACTGCTGTTCCTGTGACTGTGCCTGATCAGTACGGTGTTCATCCTGGGTACCATGGCAACAACTAGGTCTGGATCTCAAGTGTACGCCGGGAGGCTCCAGCAAGGAAACATCCGGAGCAGATTGTTTATGCCACCTAGATGCAGTAGCGCTGCTGACATCAGTGTAAAACTGTGCTTGTGAGATGATTTCACCATCAACGGAAACTGCCAAGTGACCGCTCCCATCACTGCAGAAGACAAAAATAGATGAAAATCCAAAAATTCAGGAGCTAAGCATTTGTCAAGTCCCATGATAGCCAGTTGCTCAGAATACTGTAACATGTTCAAGGTAAATGTAGTGCACAGTGAAATACAGTCAGACTCCGCACGACTGCTACACAACCTTTATGTTCCACAGAAATAGGTAGATAGAAGAGGGATACGGATAACCAAAAACATGTTGCAGTCAGTACTCTCTGAGGCTGGCGAGGGAACAGGATATAAGAGTGGCATGGTACACATGATCAGATCACCTCTACTGGACGTGGAAATTATGGCCAAGAAACAATACCAGCAAACAAATGCTACATGTATAGTCCATGCCTCTATTGTCGGTGCTACGTACTCTGATGGTAAGATGGAGATTTCCGTCACGACCACTCCTCCGATGTAATCAGGATCGACTTGCCACTGTGCATCCAATGGTCTTGTGGCGTGTCCTTGCCTCTGGGCGATGTTACCCCGGACACCCACCGTGCGAACCTTATCGGCAGTGTGAGCGACACAAATACGGAACACGCCTCTGTTATTGCCCAGCGTGTTGCTTGATGGTAGCGGCAAGTCACACCTCAAGGACCTTGACTGGATCTTGGTACGCAGTGAGACACGCTCACGGTTGTAAACTGTCTTCTTGATGATCTCCAAGTCAATGATAAGAGCTGAAAGGCAGAAGTAAAGTGTGGTGCAAAGGATCAACTTCACACGTTTTTTTCTGAAGAAAGGTACATGACTGAGAGGCACATCAGCAATACCGAGCCAACGTTCAAGTCCAGTAATCATAGTCACAACCATGTGGCATTTCCTCTGTGTTGCATGATCCACCATGATGCGAGACGGGTAAATTACCTTGCTGCGGACGTATCTCTACTGCTGATCTGAGCGCAGTTTCCTTCGTTGGATTCGAACGCGTCACATGAGTTGCGTCTTCACGCGATGCACCTGCAAAACAAAACACAATAGCATGCCAACAACGAACTCTACAGTTTCCGTTGTACACGTGGCCAAGAAAATGTAGTTGTGTATTTACAGTGGAACTCATTCAGTGCGTACCCTTATAAGGCACACTCTCGTTTAGTACAAACATCGACCGGAGCACTGGTGTATTCATCGACACAGAAAGTATGTTTGGACAAGAAGTATCTTGGATTCTACGTACACTCAGTTTCTGCTGCGCGTGTGGATACGTCTCATCAGAGTACCGCTGTAGATATCTATCCTCAAAAGACGTTGCAGTCTCCTCTCTTCAAACACTCACTGAATAACAAAGATTAGTACAATCATGACTGTCAGAATCTGCATACGCCAAAGCAGGAGTAAAGTGCTACTTCAGTAAAAAAATTATTTTTCCACAATAATCCATTTGGCTGCCCTTCATCACATTGTGTTTAATTAATATAATGTATATATTTGCCCGTAAAATAGGCTTGTGATCATCCATTTGGCTGTGAAGTTTTGCTATTCTGAATTTCATTCTTTTCTTACCTTGGTTGTGGTGTGGTTGACACCCGAGCGGGTTGAACTCCATTCCCCCAGCGTCACCCTTGGTCTCTTCGCTCGGCTGACCTTCTCCATTTTGCGCAGGCCTGCAGCTTGCCTTCTTTTCTACTGCTACGCTGACCGGTTGGGTCACTGACAGCGCAAGCAATGCAAATAGGCTCAGGAAAAAGCCAGATAGACAACGATCTTGTTCGTTGGGCAATAGCGATTGGTTGGGCAGACGGTCATCACGGTCATAGGGCTGATGACCTGCACAAAGGAAGAGGTGTGTACCGGACATCTCTGCAGTCCACAGACAGCTAGGGTAAAGATGGTTTTTTCTTGTGAATATTTTCCAGGAACAAGATCTGGCTCACCAGTAAATTTGACTCGTGAGTTCGTACTGCAATAATGCCGACTTCAGCACATAGGGTTCGAGTAGAAAGGGAGCTTCCGTGGTGGTGGCGGTGGAAGCGAGAGGGTCTCCTCAGAAGCCCTCTGCACTGACCCTATCCAATGCATTAGGATAGCTAAAACCTAGCGACAGTAAACGTCTTCAGACCAATCCAAGTTAGTTTTGGATTGCGAGGAGTGGCGTTCCCAGGAACGTTTGCCAAGTCTTGGGATAACGAGTAGACTAGCTTTTATAGTTTTTTTTTAGTCGACTTCGACGCCTTGGGTAGCATGGGCCATGAACCAGCACGTCTGTCTCGCTCCCGCCGACATCACTGTCATCACTGTCATCAGCATCGTAGACCTACGAGTTTTCATGTTTCTGGCAAGATCTCGGGACATTTCCCTTTCCTGAAATCGTGCCAGCGTCGATGGCAATCCGCTTCTGTGAAGTCTTGAAGGACACGAATCGAGCATGACGTCGGGGAAGTCCCGTCGCACGTGCAAACCACGTTGCTTACGTCGTTGCTTGCGCCAAGATATTGATCACCTCATTTTCCTCTTGACGTGGCACTGACTCACTGTGACGGACGCTGACAGTCTACATAGTCATTGTACTTGTACACATGTATTATGTATGTAGTGACTTCACACTCAACCATGCATGATCGGAATGCCTAAGCCATGCAGCAGCGCAGGCCCAAGGCAAGTATTAAAGTAATAGTTGATGTGTAGACTGCAGCCTATAGTATAGCCTAGTGTAGGCCGAGTCGGACAGGTACCTGTACTGACTGAGTACGAAGTCAATAGGAAATAAAAGCCGAGTAAAAGACCGAGGCGAAGCCGACGTCATTTACGAGGTCTTTTAATTCCTATACTGACCAAGTGCCAAGTCAATATTCGATTTATCACAACTAACCAAAGCATGTGTTCAATGCTAAAAAGGAGTCAAATATAAGCGGTCAATATAGCCGTAAGGAGTCAAATATGCAGGAATATTTGACTGCTTATGTATGGCAAAAATCTATGTGAGTCAATACTAAGGGAGTGATAAGACTCAATACGAGCACTTCTTTTGTCGACCCAACAGGCAACAGGCAACAGGTGAACACTGCACAACACTCAGTGCACTGAGCCCAGGGCCAGGGCCAAGATAAGCCAATATCCCCATGGGACCATCACCATGCATGCTTCCTATTTTTTTGTAGTCTGGCATTCATGATAATGGATGCCATGCCAGGCCTACATGTACAGCCTAGCACACGACCCAAGCTGCAATAATTATGGCTAATGAGTACTACTAGTACTAGTACTAGTATGCCCGCCCATGCAGCTGGCCGTGAGCTGGGGCGTGGCGCAGGCATCTCCACGATCAGAACATATTATGTTCTGAGGGACTAGAAAGTAGAATGCGAATGTAACATGTTGCATTATACATGTACATGTAACATGCTGCATTCGCATTCTACTTTCTAGTCCCTTCTTCAGGTTTCAAACTTACTTGCCCCGAACAGGAACACCGTCCTGCATCGCAACTGACGCAAGGGTTACTTCCCGGGCGAAGCCTATATAAGCCCGGAAACCATGATGACCGCCGAGTCGAGTGTTGACTGTTGAGAGTCCAGACTCCATTATTTTTGACTGTTCATGGACTACATGTACACAACTGTGATTGTATACATGATTGTACATGTACATGTACGTTAGAAAGTGACTAGCGGTAGTAGCGCAAAAGGAGAAGCGTCTCGAAAGCAGCTGACTCGATGGCTGCATGCAAATTGTATATGTATTTGGCCTAGTATTTCTCCTCGCGCCTTCATTACATTATTATAATCCATGCTTACGAAAGTATTAGTTGCGGAGTTTGAGTCTTGTAATTGAGAGTGCTGTATCACTTGTGTTGGAGACGAGGATATAGGCAGATCTGACCACCCGATGTAATAGTGAACGACAGTCCGGCCCTCTTCTCACGAAGTTGATATTATCATGTGAGTACAGCATACAACAGCCTTACCGGTAGGGCTGGGAGGGTAATGCTAGCATTAAAATAACAGTAGCATTTCAATTTAGAAGTGCGTGATTTGGAATGAGCATGAAAGCTTGGGCCATGTTGCATTTGAACATGAACATTGAACTTTTCCGGACAGTTGCTATCAGCATGCAGGCGAAGTCATTTTTAAATTATTTAGCTGAATGAAAGGTGTTACCAAACTTACCATTACTAATACTAGGCATTAGCGTAGAGTTGGATTTGCTAGGCTGACTAGCTTGCAAACATAATGTCCTGTACTTGTCTTGATGAGTTGATCCGTTCCAATCAGAATCAGATCCGCTATGCCGGTTGCTGGAACATCCGTGTGGGTGCACATCCAGCGCATTTGTCGATTTGCGTGCTTCTCTTGTGCATGACTGTACTGACAGTATACTAGTACTAGCCTTGTTGGGACTATTTTCCCGCGGAGTTTCCCTCATCAAATAAACGGGTAGATGTTTGGGGGATTCCCCCTTGGGAAGGCATACGGGTACCCCCCGTCGAATGACTATGTAGCATGTCGCGATCGAAGTAGCTCTGGCCGCCAAACCACTGCATGCATGCACTGCTTCACGTCATCAGGTCATGGCCTCCAGTCTTTCAGATCAGCACAGTCAAATCACTTTTATTTCCGCTAAAACGAAAAAATGGGCTCGCTGAAACAGTAGAGCTAGAGATAAAACCCAAAGATGGAGAGGCAAGTGCTAGATACTGATGGTGCGTTTGCATGAAGGTGTGCTCTCCGCCTAGCGCCTTGTCCTTTCACTTATAATTATATGGTGGCACACTGATGAAGATTAGTGTTTCTTCTGCAGCAAGTAGTGGGACCATTGAAGCTGATTCCGTGGTTCCGATCGTCATTTTCTTGCCGTGTGCAGAGTCTCCCGGCTCACCGACGGATGTCCGGCCCGACCTTTCTGCTCTATGTAAAATCTATCATTGGCATTGGCGTGCTATATTGCCTATACTGGCTACAGCCTGTATCGTACTAGTAGTAGTACTCACTAGAAACCCCGTTCAACCGTTGTCGCAAATCTGGAGAAGGACCCCACTGGCCCACTGTTTCTTAGCTGTTACAATGGCCGAAAACTGTGTCGTGAGCGTTGTGAACGATGGAGCGGCATATGCTTCAGCTGATCAGATTCCTGATGACCTATTTGACTTTGTCGAAGCGGTAAGAAGAGAGATAAGTTCCTTGTTATGACGTCTTACACCACTGTTTCGGTGAGGCATTTTAATGTTAGACAACCACTGACACACTGAGCAACACAATCCTTTCATTTTCTTTCCTCTGTTTCCTTTTTTGACTAAAATCCTCCCTACCCCATCTCTCTTTGGTGCATCCATGGCGCTATGAAGCCGAGACCTCTCGTCGGCTGAGCTTAATGGTCCCCATGCCCACCACCACACTCCATTATTCACCCCAGTGTCTGGAAATATTGTGGATTTTGTAGGAAGAAAAAAAACCCCAAAAGAACAATCGGAGCCACTAACTTTCAGTCAAGTCGTCGTGTGCATTTACCATGTTTACCATCTCTTCCCTTATTTTGCCGAGTCAGTGTGTTGGTAAAAAATTTCGAGGCCAATCGTTTCATTCCATGCAGCTCTAACTGCCATCAAGGTGCCTGTATGAGTGATGAAAGATCGCACTCAACAGCTCTCACAAGTAGCAAACACTTCATCAGGCCATTTGTACCTCCCCCCCCCCCCCCCCCACTAGCTTCTATAATTTGTGTACAATCATGACATTGTACAGCACTGCTACACATCGACCAATACTGGTACACGTTTTCAGTTTGTAGTGCAATGATTATGTTCCGGTACGAAGCAAAGTTGCCTTGAAACGTTCGATCATATCAGAGTAGCTCTGGAGGCGTTGAAATTTGGTTAGGAAGACCACAAGAATTCTTTTTTCACTTCCTTCCACTGCCCAACGAAGCACACAGTTACTAGTTGTACTTGGATATGCATGTAGTACCACAGTGCTGCACCCTTGGCCGTGGGCTACTACTGTATGTTTCAAACGTCAAGCGCATTTATTGAGAGAGCAGTACCAGGCGCGTGCCCCGTATGGGTTCCTGGGTGCCCGGAACCCCCCCTTTTTTTCGCTGAAAATGCAGGATTTGCTTCATTTTTTGAAAACTTTCGCGAGGAGGCCCCCGGAACCCCCCCCCCCCCCCCTTGAAGGGCACCGGCGAACACGCCTGAGTACATGTATGTTGTCATTAATTAGAGTGAATGCTTTTGAAGAATTGCTAGTACAATGCTTGCAATCTTTCATGTTCTGTGATATCTGCAGGATGGTGAACCTGTCATCGTTATCACCGTGGGCATCTACATGTCTGTGACGAAGGGCAATAAAGTGATGCTCTTCAGGATAGTCACGGATGCTGATCGCCCTATTGAAAGTGTTAACGTGATGGGGGAGGCGTACGACATCAATCAGAACTGGCAGATCCATAGCAGCCAGTACAAGCTGAATACCAGGGTTAGTAGTAGCCAGTGAGCATGTCTGTTTGCGTGTGTGTGTGTGTGTGTGTGTGTCTGTTTGCGTGTGTGTGTGTGTGTTTGTGTGTATGTGTGAGAGAGAGTGCGTGTGTGTGTGTGTCTGTTTGCGTGTGTGTGTGTGTTTGTTTGCGTGTGTGTGTGTGTGTCTGTTTGCGTGTGTGTGTGTGTGTTTGTGTGTGTATGTGTGAGAGAGAGAGTGTGTGTGTTTGTGTGTGTGTGTGTGAGAGAGAAAGAGTGTGTGTTTGTGTGTGTGTTCATGCATTCGTGATTGTATGTGGTGTGTGTGTGTGTGTTTCATGTTGTTTCTTAAAATTGATCTATGATATACTGTCAAGTCATTCTGTCATCCGGAGGCATGACCAACAGGCCAGTGCTGGCCGAATTGGCGACATTATTTGATTTGGAGTAGACTACCCTCCATGGGTTGTGAATCCAATTACATTCTTACAGTCTAGCCAGTGCTTAGGTAAAAACACTACGTCAAGCATGTCCTGTACTAGCACCCTGGTGACCTACTACTACAAGTATACATGCATACTGCTGACACCAGCTTCTGGTGCCATGTCCAACCAACTTGAGGAATGGTAACCTCGAAGGTTTTCGATGAATCATCCATGGGGGGGGGGGGGGGTGCATGAGCTGCCCTGCTGTTGATCAGAGGCATTATTAATATGTTTTGTTAACATGGAAGCAGGTGTATTCTGGACATCCTTGTTGATAATCCTGGGGGGTGCATGAGCTGTCCTGCTGTTGAACAGAGGCATTATTATTATGTTTTGTTAACATGGAAGCTGGTGTATTCTGGACATCCTTGTTGATAATCCTGGGGGTGCATGAGCTGCCCTGCTGTTGAACAGAGGCATTAGTATGTTTTGTTAACATGGAAGCTTGTGTATTCTGGACATCTTTGGTGATAATCTTGGGGGTTGCATGAGCTGCCCTGCTGTTGAACAGAGGCATTATTATTATTATGTTTTGTTAACATGGAAGCTTGTGTATTCTGGACATCCTTGTTGATAATCTTCCTGTGTACATGTTCGCTCAACCTTGGTGTTGACCACTTGCAGCCTCGACGTATAATCATTGAGCAGACCGGGTTAACGCTGTGGACAGAAGATGGCATTCGCCGCACTAGGGACCTTGATGTGGTGGCTATGCCACGAGTGATCGAGGTCCCTGATCCGTTTGAAGGAGATACATTCGTGGAAACCATCTGTGAACTCGGAGCAGGTGAGCCTATGGTAGTAGGCTGATAAACAATATCAAGGATTTATAGATTGTATACAAATAATCTGTGTGGAGACTGAATAAAGCTATGTACAGTATGAAATTCGACTTCATGACTATAATGCACACATGTAAGCGAGGATAGTCTTGTATTTCCAAGAACATGTTCTTGTGATATTCATCAGCAAAATTATATTCTGTTCTTTTTCCTTAATTTCTGATTGTGATAATAATCACAATCAGAATATACTGCAACTAAAGAATATCACTAGAAAACGTTTCTGGAAGCACAAGACCATCCTCGCTACATTATCACTGTTTTCATAGTCATGAGTGCAATCTTGATACAGTTCATAGGCGTATTTTGTAAAATGTTTTTGCAGTGCCATCATCATTTTAAAAATTGTGTCCTGCTGCTGCCCATTGCTGTCTCCATAGGTCTGGAAGTTCAGTTTATGTGATGGTATTCCCTGCTCCTGCACAACACATACTATCCAATTGCCTTGTTTGTTGTAGGTGAAGTGATGGAATTACTCACTGACCAAAAGCTCTCAATCACGTTTGTCGGTGCTGATGGCCAGCAGCGTCTTGCTCATCAAGCGGAAATTTATAAAGTAAGGGGCCATCCGTAAATATAGATATATATTTAGAAACAAAAACTAGTCGTTTAGGGAGGAGGGGGTTGAGCGCCTGTTCGTTTCTCGAAAAATATCGATGTACATTTTTCACGCGTGAGCGTGTCCAGAAAAAAAGATCAAAAATATCGATACTATGTAGCATTTGTACGTATTCGTTTCTCAGGGAGGGTAGGGGGAAGAGAAACGACTAGTTTTTGTTTCTAATTTAATATCGGTATTTACGGAAGGCCCCTAAGTTGTCCGACTTCTATCCCAGTTTAACTTTATAGGCAGATGCATGTGGGGCATGTGCAATGCCCCCCTCCCGACGACATATCTATGCATGGTTATGTTTAAGGCTGGAGAATGAGTGTAAACAGCGGAGAATACTCATACTAAGTACCGGTATACCCCATTTTTCACAGTAACAGTCCAAGTTCATCACTAGTCTAGTGCATGAATGTTGTGCAGTGTACCGCTGCAGTATCCTCCTTTCTCCTAACCCAAGGACAGCATATCACAATTCACGGGAGTATATTCTGCTATTATGGCATATCTGTCTGTCTGTAACTAGCTTGATTCTTTGTATTGTTTTGGTGGTGAATTCTAATGCAAGGGGACATTTTGGAAATGCACATTTATTCTTAGGAACAATGTATTATGTGTCACTTTTGTATTTGCTACTGCGCAGCCCGTCATTGCTGAAGAAGTATCGGTGGAGAACTCGGAATTGGTTCTGGCAAGCAATGGGACCAAATCGTCTTCATCCGCAAAGAAAGAAGATGAGGTGGCTAGTGAACGGCACGATGAAAATGGATAGGCTAAGCTGAATGATGTGTGGCAAATCCCATGCCTCCTTACCCCGCGGGGTGCATATGGAGCAAAGGCTACAGAAGACGGAGCGGAAGTTGCCGAAGATAGCGAGGACAATGCAGGAGAAGACACCGCTCGGATCAGACGGGGCTATGGAAGGATAGTGAAGCAGGTAGACACCCTAACAGAAGAAGTAGAGATCACAGTGCTGCTGTAGATCATGGCGAGCATGCGTTCTACAGGAGGAAGAACATGAACGGCTCAAGATAGTACTTCAGTATTATTTTTCTCAAGGTGTAGACTGAGAATGGAAGAGCGGATCAGCAATATCAGTGTGTTCAATAGACTGTCAGTGTCAATCAAATGGACATATCATTACACAGTGCTTGAGCTACTCAGATAATTTATATGTTATAATCTGGCAACCGAGGCTCTCAAGATAAGAAACCACATTATAATCCTACGAAATAATATGGTGATAACTGTTCAGTTATTACCAATCCGAGCGCCTAGAATGGATTAGAACAAAATCACAGCCCGTGTGTAGTATCGCAGCCTATACATGCTGTTCACGGACTCAGAAGAGACTTATGCTGTTCACGGACTCAGAAGAGACTTATGCTGTTCACGGACTCAGAAGAGACTTATGCTGTTCACGGACTCAGAAGAGACTAGCGCAACAGTATTCCTGAACTGAATCAATCTAGAAATGAAGCAGCTTGTACACTGGGTAATGAACCATGTGTGTGTTATTGAAGGATATTTTGCTATGACTGTCTAAAGTGTCTATTCACACGAGTCATGCAGAGAGAATACTCTCCCAGGCCGTGTAGACAGCGTATCTATTGGCATTCATCACCACCTTTAACCACCTTCTGCCTGAATGCTATTTATTTCTAACGCCTTATTTATATGGAGTGGTAGAGTCTGCTATAGTTATTTATAGCGTTTCGTATCTAACGCCTTATTTATGGCATGGATCTCTGCATCCAATAGAGGCATGCAATATTGTTGGCCCAGTTCACTTGGTATATTTACTGATTTGACCACCGTGACTATATGGGTCGGCAGCACAGTGATCCAATGTCATCGTTTTGCTGCGAAAGATTGCGGCAGGCTGCTGTGTACGCTGGATCTGAGTGACCATGATGTGATGCTCCATCAGGGTGCGCCTGTAAGATACTGTCAAGTCCCTGTCAGACTCTGAACAGCCCCTTAGCCATTGTTCACCCCAGAAATCAGAATATGAAATCTATTTATCCAAGCAGGCCTTCACCAGAAGCGGTATCCTCCCGGAGTACATGGCATGTATCTCCTGACTTTTGTCATGCACATTGACATTCTCCCTGAGAACAATCAAGCATAGAATATTATGAAGAGTGTGATACAGTACACGGGGTTCTAGCCAAAGGAGGGTAGGGGGCGAAGCCCCCCCCCCCCCTACTTTGTTTGCACCCCCCCTGTGAAAAGTCTTTTTCATTTTTGTGTTTTATCATGCCATTCAACGAAAATGCGGTCGATAGTTAGTAGTGTAGAGGGTTCATAAAGGCACATTTGTCTGGCGTGAAACCAGGTGTTTACCCCGTACGTACATGTACGTTGCATTTAGCATTGCAAGACAGTTACATGTATTTTGAAAATGGAAAATGGGTTACGGGGTAACTGCTTCCCCCCCCCCCCCCCCCCCTAGTATTTTGACTTGGTTAGAACCGTGGTATAGCATAGGTAGTACAGTACTATCGGATGCTGTAGAACCTGAAGGACTGAAGGACTGAATCTGTCCCTCCAGGAAATCGCGATTGCACGGATGCAACAAATTTCGCGATTTTGGCCCAAACCCGCAATTTTCAGCAAAATCCGCTATTTCCCGCGTTTTTTGTTGTTTTCGGCACTATAATATCTCACATTTTATGCACTTTTCATGCAGTTCTTTCCATGATCCTGTAGGTTATTTGCACAGTACGACTCCCGAGTAAATATATGATGCAACACATTTCGTGATTTGGCCCAAATCCGCAATTTTCTGCAAATAATTCCGCGAATTCCTGGCCAGTTCTGCATCATTCCGCACTTTTCGTCGCATTTTTTGTTACTTTCTGCCGCAATTTCTTGCGCAAGTTTTCGAGAGTTTTTTCCGCAAATTCCCTGCGCAGGGACAGCTGAATCATGATCCCAGCATGCCTAGAAAGTACATGTAGTAGCAACGCGCTCTTTTGTTACATTTCCAGTTTCCAGTCTCTTCTTGCTATGCTTGCATAATAAACTTAGTGAAGTATGCATGTGTGCCTGTGCAACCCGGGCCTTTGTGACATGATCACATCATAGCCTAGGGTGGACTCCAGCCGGACTGTTTTTCGGCCGACAGTTGTTGAAAGTGCTCGGCAGTAGTATCACTAGTGTAGCACGCCAGCAAATACGGAATCGTTCTTGGGTACAGTGCTGTGGTGTGCTCGGGCAACTATGGCACATACACACAAAAACAAACACACACATGCACATGCACCCCCCCCCCCCCCCCCCCACACACACACCTCAGACCTCAGACCTGCCCATCGCGGAAGCGATGATAGCGAACAGCTATGTTAGACATAGCAACTTGTGCTGGGATTACACCATTCAACAGCTTGCAAGGCTGATGAATTGACCGCCACTATTTTTACACACACACGCATGTACACGCACACACACACACACACACACAAACACACGCGCGTGCACACACACACACAAACACACGCGCGTGCACACACACACACAAACAACTATGGCAGTTGCGCACTGGACGCAGGCCAAGGCGGATTTCTGAGACTTTCGTTGTTGTATTTTGTGCGTATACAATTATGTAGATGTGTTAGCTAGTTACATTATAGGGTGTGGACCTATCATTACGATATACTTAGCCAGGTCTTAGCTCGCCTGCACTAGTACTGCATAGGCCAACCCGCATCGGTTATTATTATTGGCCAGACTGACTAGCTGCTGGGTGGGTTAACAGTTTCTTACAAGCTTCTTTACACAGGACTCCCTTCGGGAACGGACACGATAATTTACTTACTCAGTTTTACAGGGCTTACCTGGTGATATTAAATTCTGTCACTCAGCACATACATGATGTACATTGTACATGACTGTAATACCAGGACTGGCAAGAGTACAAGATGATACTGGTACTTCGAAGTACATGTAGTTCCAATCCAGCTCATGACAGTCATACTGTACTGTAGTGATTTTGTTGACTTCTGCTTGAATTGTAGTTTTGTACCTTCTTTGGCCAAGCTAAATACCGGCATGATCAGCACACACTTTACGCACCGCAAGTCTATGATCAGCACACACTTTACGTACCGCAAGTCTAGTCGATCGTAGCCAGGGAGTCGTAAAAGGATGCTCAACTTCTCAAGACTCCTCCTATCCGCCGCAATCATTTTTATTTACCTCTACCGGTACAGTAGTATGTAGCTCGGCTGGGTCGGCTGTCTGGAAGTACCAAGACAGTGAAGTGGTTTCCTTCGCTAGTTCGGGGATAGGGAGTGGTGAAAAGGGTTTCCCTGCAAGTGCCGTCAGTCATTTTACTTACAAAACAGGTGTAGTAGTAGTAAATACTTCAGTTACAAGATCTACCAGGCCTGCAGGCAGGTAGACATGAATTAATTTTATGTGATAGACTAATAACAGTAGTACATGTATGACTGTAGAGGGGACGGTTTCAAATAGGACACCGGTTGCAAACCGGAACGGACTCAATATTCACTTTCTCTCTTGGTATTTTGATTAGAAAACATATGTCACAGTGAGACTACGATGTGTTATACTCCGAGCCAAAATTTCATGGCTCTGCGATGACCAGAAGCGCCATATCAAGCAGGTGAGTTTTTGACGTGTTGCTTCGCACTGCGACTTGAGTTTTACGACTTTCGAAGAATCAACTTCTTGTCGCAGGTAAACAGCGGCTCGCCTCTCGCCAATAAAGCACCGCATACCAATCAAAACTAATGGAAGCACACACAAGGCTTATTGTTACTCTGTACTGGCCGTCGTGGAGCGATAGCAATTACCTAATTTCAGACCCAGAGTGAATTTGACGTGCACTCTAAAACGTGTCCGGTTTGGAGCCACCTCTGATTTGAACTTTTTTGAAGCGAAAAATTGGGCAACTTGGAGGCAATGGGTCAACACGAAGGAGTGGCTCAGTTCGATTGACTCTGGCCCCAGAGCAAACTTCAACATGCCAGTTTCCTTCCACAAACATATTTCGAGTGAAAAATCCGCTGATGATCGGTTTGGGTCTATACAAATTTGGCTGTCAAAACGTCCCAGTATCGAGCCGTCCCCTCTACATGTAGTCCACCAATAATTACAAGGCAATATCTTTTACATGCACAATTTCGATCCGCTTGTATGACATTGTATAATGCATTGCATTGCAGCCCGGCCGGTTAGGCAATCATGAATAAAACCACCATGTGTTCATGTTCCCTAGAATTTAGAAATGAATGAATAGCAGTACTGTACGAGCGTACTAGTGTGTCGAGACGACAGAGAAACGGTAGATACGGGACAACAATAAAAGTTTACCAATACCATGAATCAAAATACCAGGACCAAAGACGACACTGTACAGTGAATCGTGGTTAGTTAGGGATGTAAATCTACATGAGTCTTTGTACATAAATCGTCTCGCTTGTACAGATATCTAGAATAATAGTTCTATTATCATAACCATAGCATAGCCTAGGGCGACCTCGAACATGACGATGGTGCATGCTTGTGACGTGCGTGAGCTAGCCCACATGCATTGTCATAATCATCATGGTGCATTGGTGCATCATAACGAAAATGAGTCCGACTCTGACTCTGAGCCTAGACTGAGGCCTTAGGCCAGTTAGGGAGGGCAGAAAGTACAAGCACAACAAGTCGAGCTGTTATTTTTTCACAAATCATCCGTCCGAGTCCTGGTTACTGGAATACTGGGTCAAGGCATGGCTGTGTTGGCCAAGCAGTACCAAAATATTGAATGTACGGTTCGTTAGTGGAACGACGTTACGTAAACCATTGGCATTGTAGCGCTAGACAAGTCTCAAGTAAGTTTGTTCATTAGATCTACCGAGCCACATTTTCAACAGGCAAGCAGCATCTAGCTCTTTACGCCTGTCCGACGAATAATTTTTGAAGTCATTGTCTGTTATAGCTTTACTAGAAAAGCGTGGATCTACTGTCACTTAGTGTCACTTAGTTAGGGTCTTACATGGTCCTTGGAGACCTTCAAAGTCCATAATCCAGGAGTTCAATTTTAGGACGAATGAGGTACTGGCAATAACCAGATAACTACATAGCTCATCTCGTCACGTCTCTGCGAGCGCGCGGTCAGGCCAGTGTGCGTTTGCCAAGTACTAGTAAGTAATAGTCAGTTAGTTATTGTAGGGAAAGCACGTGTTGCACTACTCTATTTTGACGTATCACAGTGGTCCCTATAATCCAGCACCATTAAGTGCTAAGGAAATCCTGCTGGATATGGGAAGGTGCTGGATATGGGAAGGTGCTGGATATGGGAAGGTGCTGGATATGGGAAGGTGCTGGATATGGGAAGGTGCTGGATATGGGAAGGTGCTGGATTAACAAAATTAATCTGATTTACGGCTGCAGTGTGCATGAAGAAGACATTTTTTTGGCTACTGAAAAATTGTGCTGGTTGATAGAGGGTGCTAGTTTTATTGAGAGGCGACTGTGCATGTAGTAGGACTAATCGTGGGAAGAATTATTTACTAGCTGGGGGAACATCCACAAGGGTCCATCAACTGAATATTCACACTTGACGGAAGTGAAGCTAAAGTACAGTGCTGCTCAATGAAATCTGATAGCGTGAATCAAGTTTGCGCCCTCGGCCTGCACCAGTTCACATCACAGTGTTCGCCGGTCTCGGGTTGCATAGCACCCCGAGTGGCATTCACTCGCTTGATCATATCTCATTGAGCAGCACTGTATTTAATCATCTATTCAATCTTTCTACAGGCGCGAATAGTCCTGGCGACAGAATGACACACAAACGTAGTAAAAATGATTCACTGCATCAAAGCAAAACATATCCAGAGAATGCACCGGGCTCTCCTCCTGACCTACGTCTTCTTTGTGCGCCGCTTGTATTGGGGAATGGACCAACCAGGGCTGTTCCACCTTGACGACTCATAACAATCCTTTGGACATGGTAGTCAGTGCAGTCTGGTGATTGCCGCTCAAGCATGAAACTCCGAGTCCCCACAAGAGAGAGTTTTGTATCCTTCTCT